AAGCTCCCAGAGGAAAACAGAGGGCCTGGAATGCATCCTGCTTCTTGGGTTCTAGAAAATTAACCTGCTGGGATTACACACCCTTTGGGCAGGCTGTAAACCTGAGACGTGGCCAACCACCACCAGATTTCTGCTTCCTCACTCTCTCCAGGGAGTAGATGTTCTCTGTGTCCCCAGACTCCTGTGATGGCAGCAAAGGAGCTACTCCTGAAATCCTCCAAGCAATTTCTGCGGACAGCAAGCATGCCAGATAGTCCCAGATGGGCTTGCCTCTCAGGGTGTGTGACTGCAGGCATTGGGATAGGAATGGCCTTGGACGAAGGACACTTTCTTCTTGGATGAAGAAGAGGGCTTCATGGAAAATAAACCCAGAACTGTGTGGAAAGAGGCCTGACCTCCTCCCAAACCCCAGCTTGGCTCCCCGCTGACAGAATTGTGTTTGGTTAGTGGCAAAAGATGTGTTTTAAGGCAGTGAAAAAGGTGAGTCAGAAGTTTGGATAATTACTGTCATCAGGTGGATTTTCTTTGCAACGTGCAAGTTCTCTGTATTGGGACTGAATCACAGACACTGTGTTAAGGAAATGAGTCCATGAACTGTTGGATTCCACTTAAAAAATCCAGATGGAATATGCTGATGGTTAAGGCCCGTGGTGCTCCTGCCTCATTTGTCAGGCCTCCTCAGTCTCCTCCAATCCACAACAGTTCATCAGGCTTTACTTATATTTCCTATTTTGAGATTTTTGAAGAGTATTGATTAGTTACTTCGTAGAATGCCCCTCGATTTGGGGTTTGTCAGGTATTTTCTCCTGATTAGACTGAAGTTCTTGTGAAGGGGTCCGCAGAGATGCTGTGCCTTCTCAATGCGTCAGTCAGGTGGCACACGATGTTGGTAGGTGCTAATGGCGAGGTTAACTCTGGTCACTTGATTAATTTGATATCTGCCAGAATTCTCCACTGTAAAGTTACTATTTTTCTCTTTGTAATTACCAAATATTTTGGTGGAGATCCTTTGAGACTGCAAATATCCTTTGTGGCTTAAACTTCTACACCCTTACTTTTAGCATCCATCGGTGGATCTTGCTTGTGGCAATTATTACTTTGGTTTTACAACACACACACACACCCCCACCCACCCACCACACGCATCTAGACATATTATATTCAAACTGCAGAAAACAAAAGACAAAATCTTGAAGGCAGCCAGAGAAGAAAGGAACATTACATTCACAGGAACAAGAAAGGAGTTACAGCAGACTTCTCATATGGAACCATACAAATCAGAAGGCAATGGTGTGACATCATTAAAGTGCTGATTTTTACAAAATACCTGTCAATACAAAATTCTATATCCATCAAAAACACCTTTCAAAAATAGAGAAGAAACAAAGGCTTTCTCAGACCAACAAAAACTGAGGGAACTCACTGCCAGAAAATCTACTCTACAAGAAATGTTAAAGTTAAGTTCTTTAACGTTTTAAAACAATGGGGGAGAAGGAAAATCTCTTCCACAAAGAAGAATTCCAATTCATACATGTAGAAGAAATCAGGGTAATAGAAAATTACCAGTAGAACACCACAGTAAAGGATTTCCGAGCTTACTCTAGAACCACTGTCAATCTGAGTCCCAGTCAACTCATACATAAAATAATTATTTATCCCTCTTATTCTGGAAAAGATCAAGGGCAGTTTGAAGATAATTGCCCTGCCTACTTCTAGCCTAGAAATCTACAATGTGGTTATGAAGGTCAAAATATTAGAATTATGAACAGGTAAGGCTTAAAAACCGTAAAAATGTTAGCAAGATACAGGGTATTACTACAGCCTTTCTAAAACATTTTACTATGTCAAATGGTTCAATAGCCTCAGCTGATATTGAAATAAAAAGACTCAGTGGAAGAGAAAAAAATACTTTGGGGTCTGTGGTTTGGTATAACTATCATCAGCAGTGGCACCATTTAATAATCAAGAGCCATCTTGAAACCATGTGGCACGGGCTGGGTACCAGGTGCAAGAACAAAACGAAGTCTTTCACTGAGGCATGCAGCTTCCCCCCTTCATCCCAGCATGTGGCCCATCAGTGCCCACTGTCTGTGCCTTTCCAGGGGTTCACAAAGCCACCCTGAGGCTCATCTCATGTGACCCTCTCCCCAGCTTCGCGAGGTAGCCAGTGTTGCTGCCATTTCCACGTGGTGCACAATGAGGTCGACACACTTGGCCAACCTCTCCCACACTGGAACGATCGGGACTGGTGTTCAAACCCAAGTATGTTGACGCCAACAAGTGTTCTTCACTATGTGGTTGGCCAGACCTCAGAAACTGTGCTTTTTGGGGGGTATTTTGTGATTTGAATGTTGTTGCCCCAAATGTGGGATGTGTACCAATGATTTGGGTAGAACATGAGATGATTTTAGGGGCCCTCAGGTGTGGAATTAATCAATCACACAGAGAGAAAGTTATTGCCTTTGCAAAACTCTTCCTGTCCTTTTGGTTACATCACAGGGAAAGTCTCTGCTTGAGGCTAGCGTGTCTTTAACACCTCCTTACACTAAACAACTCGCTTATACCACCTGGGAGGCTGAGGTGGGAGGACTGCTGGAGCCCAGGAGGCGAAGGCTGCAGTGAGCCAAGATTGCTCCACTGCGCTCCAGCTGGGGCAATAGAGCAAGTCCCTGTTCCCCCGCCCCCATCCCCCCAAAAAAGTTTATGCCCATTTTGGATCTTATTTAAAGAAAGTCATGTGTTTTGATATAACATCACTCTGCAAAAATTGCTTAGTACAACTGACCCTCTAGGAAGATGAGCCTTGGGTATACTGATGTTCCTTGGCCTCCCAGCACACCACCAGGGTCCCCAGGAACCTATGTTGGAGATGCAATCACTTGCTTTACTCCAACCCATGTACTAGAAATATGGAGATCAAGGAATCCCATAGGTGCTCCTCTTCCCATCCCCACAGCACCTGGTATAGTACAGAGCCCATGAGAAGCTCTGTTTGGGGTTACAGGTTCCTAACAAGCATTTTGCAGTAGCTCCAGGATACCTTCCCTTGAAGAGTGATATAGAGAATACTTTAAGATCTCTGACTTTGGAGCCGTGCAGCGCTAAGTTCGAAGCCCACTGTTGCTGCTTGTTGAACTTCTATCAGGTACTTCTGGTATGTAAAGAAAATATCTGGGTTTGTGAGCTGGAAGGAAAGGCAACTGAGCCTGAAGAGGGACCTGTTGAGGAAGGGGGCAAGGTTGTGTGGAGTAGGGTTCAAGAGCCTGGACTGCACCATCAGGAGCCCTAGGTTCCTTCCCCAGCTGTACACTACCCACCCCTGAGGCCTCAGACAAGGGACAACCCCTGTACCTGTTTCTTGGTGTCAAAAACCAGGAGGCTGGATGAGATGGTTTCTAAGGGGCCCCCACCAGCTCTGATGTTCTCTGCTCTACATTTCAGTTTCACGAGGCACAGGTTTTCAGCTTTGTCTTCTTTACGGTGGCTGTCTTTCATTTCTTGAGACAGAGTCTCGCTCTGTTGCCCAGGCTGGAGTGCAATGGCATGATCTTGGTTCACTGCAGCCTCCACCTTCCAGATTCAAGTGATTCTCTTGCCTCAGCCTCCTGAGTAGCTGGGATTGCAGGTGTGCACCACCATACCTGGCTAATTTCTGTATTTTTAGTAGAGACGGGGTTTCACCATGTTGGCCAGGCTGGTCTCGAACTCCTGACCTCAGGTGATCCGCCTGCCTCGGCCTCCCAAAGTGCTGGGATTAAAGATGTGAGCCACTGCGCCCGGCCTTTCCTCATCATTTCTGAAAGCGCTGCGTGTGCACCACTCCTACCTTAGAAAAACAACAGCTATCATTTTTGAACGCTACTGTCATCCCCTCAAATGCATTCTCCTGTGTATATGAAGGTCAACAGCCTTTGTTCCTCGTGTGGATGATGGAGGTTATAAAACTAGACTCGTTACAGTCTCAGAAGGCACAAAGGAAATGCATCAAACCAAAAAAAAGGCCAGATTTCATTATCTGGCCTAGAATGTTTCTCCAGTCAAGACACCAAAATGACGCTCACATCCGTGAAGGTCAATTTCCCATTTCCTTTTTCTGTGAGTCCAATAAATGCCTGTTTAATTAGGTGCTTGTCCTCCACTGACCACAATGAGCACTCATGGAATCTTAGTTAATGAAATGAGGATTTATTATATTTTCCATTTTAATAAATAGTCGTCATCTTTGCATTGGGCCCCCAAGCCCTGGTAAAAATGAAATGGTTGTACGACCATTCAGAGGGAAAATGTTAAGCTATGTTCTTTAGTTACAAAAGTGAGTCTCTCCCCGTCCCACACCCCTACACCACCATCTTGCTGTTTAAAGGCCCAAAGCTGAATTTAATTTTCTTATTACATTGAGGTCTCACAGATGCCACAGACAGACATTAAGGCCTTAAAAATAAAAAGAAAGGGACAACAAAAAACAGAAACAGGTATAAAGAGTACAACAGGCTGGGCACGGTGGCTTGCACCTGTAACCCCAGCACTTTGGGACGCCAAGGCTGGCGGATCCCGAGGTCAGGAGATTGAGACCATCCTGGCTAACACGGTGAAACCCCATCTCTACTAAAAATACAAAAAATTAGCTGGGCATGGTGGCGGGCGCCTGTAGTCCCAGCCACTCGGGAGGCTGAGGCAGGAGAATGGCGGGAACCCGGGAGGCGGAGCTTGCGGTGAGCCAAGATCGTGCCACTGCACTCCAGCCTGGGTGACAGAGTGAGACTCCGTCTCAAAAAAAAAAAAAAAAAAGTACAACCGACATTTCCCCTATGCAGACACCACTGGCAGGTCTGCTCTGAAGGAAGCCTGGCAAAAAAGAAAGCCCAGACACATCCCCAAGCATTCTCCCCACTTTAAAAAATTCATTCATTCAGAGTTCTAGGGAAAAATGAGTCGTCACCATTTTTGTTCCCAAATAAGGAACAGAGAAAGCCTCAGGAAATCAAGGCTTAAGTAAAATCTATCTCCCCAGGCAGTTAAAGCTCTGAAACAAGATTAAAGAAACAAGGCAATGTCTAATGCTGCTTTTGTGATTTATTTTGAAAAGACTGAATTTAGACTTAAAGAATAAGGATCAGGAGACAAGCATTGAGGCTTCAGGCCCCCCATCCCTGGAAGGTGGCTGTTGGTTAGAACCCAGATCAGATTTCTAAAGATGGGCTTGTGGAAGCTCCCAGGAACAGCTCCCAGAAGGAATAGAGCCAAGGCGTGGGGCTGAGCTCGTCCCCTGGGCGGCAGTCATCCTCCATTCTACTCTGGCCTCTGCCCAGCATCCACTCCTGGCTTCTATCTGTCCCCGCTGGTCTCTGCTAACCTGTTGTTCATGATTGCAAAGGCTCCCACGCCCCCTGAGAATTCATTTTCCCGGGCCAGCGTGCTGGTCTGGTGGGGGCAGCCATTGGCCATCTCAGACAGTTGCTTCTGCAGGATGGCCAGCGAGGCCTTGTTGGCTGCCAGCAAGTCCTTCATGGAGATCATCTCTCCCGAGAGCCGGCGCCCGTCTGTGTCACTCTCTGCCACTCCGTCTGTCTCTATGGAGATATTGCAGCGGTTCCGGATGCTGCCTGGCATCACCACGTTCCTGCGTGATCGCAAGAGTCCTCTCTGGCATTGCGGGCAGCACCCGCTGTCCATTTTCCTCAGGATCCAGTTCAAGGACTGTTTGATGAGGATAGAGATGACATTGAACAAGGAGTAGATGCAGCAGACACCCATGAGGATGAAGACGAAGTTGGCAAAGCGATAGAGGCTTTGGCTCTCATAGTGGGCGTTCTGGCTGCTGACCAGGTCCCCAAAGCCGATGGTGCTGAAAGCCACGAAACAGAAGTAGAGTGAGTCAAAGTAGCTCCAGCCTTCGATGGGGGTGTACATGGCCGAGGCGCAGCAGGAGATGAGGACGGAGGCCGTGCATAGGATCAGCATGACATAGTACACGGAGGGCTTCCAGCCAGCCAGGCTGTCCACCTCGCACTGCCCCGCATCCTTCAGGCTCTCCTGGGGCAGGGCCCCTCGTCTCCGGAGCTGCCGCTGGTGGCACGACTTCATGATGTAGGCGATGACGGTGATCAGGCGCTCCAGGAAGAGGTTGAAGAACAAGATGGTGCTGGAACACCCAACAAGGCCGTAAAAGATAAGAAAGATTTTTCCACCTACTGTTGCCGGAGTTGTCATCCCAAACCCTGCAGGAGAGAAAAATGAGAGAAGAGTAAGAGAAATCTTTGCTGTGAATGGGGTTTGGGTCTTGGCTTTGATGGCTGGCAAAGGACCTAAAGAGAGAGTTTCATAAAATCACTCAGCCCTAGTCTTTTAGGAATGAGCAAGAGAATTCTTACCTGCTTTTGAACATACTAAGCGTTGTTCAGAGCTAGGCTGCTGAAAGCCCGTGTGGTGCTATTGTGCAAATCAGGAGAATAGCACCTCATCCTCACGGTGGACACAGCCAGCAAAAAATGGCTTGGTGATGAGAATGTGGGCTGGATTTCAGCCTCCCTTCCCTTCTCTGCTAGATGTCCTTGTACAGTCCACAACCTGAACAACCAACCCAACAGACCATGTTTAGAGAGAGAAGCAAAGGCTCATACAAAGAAAAGGCTTATACAGACTCATCAGAATTCATTTATTCTACACTTATTGACCTGGGGATAGAACTGTGGAAAAGACAGTTCTGGTCCCTGCCCTCATGGAGCCCTAGTCCGGTAAGATGATTATGATATTGTGTGGTAAGTGTGGTGCTAGACGGAGTACAGGGTTCTATGGGAGCTCCTAAGAGGGGAACCCATCTAAGAAGTGGGGTTTAGGAAAGATGAAGCAGGGAGACCGGAAAGCTAAAGAGCAGTTAGGCAGGCAAGAAGGGTGTATGTGTGTGGTGGTGGGATGGGGAAGTGGGGATGCTGCAGGCAGAGAAACAGCAGCCTCCCAAGGCACTGGGATTACGGGCGTTTCTAGCATACATAGAAATGAGAAATTTGCTCAAGATCTACCCATCTTTTAAACAAAATTCTTCAAACACACACTTCATGCTTTCGGAGTGACAACGGAAGTATTGGATGTTATACTTTTATAAACTATAAAATGTCTGTTTTGCCTTTGCCTCTAACTGTTCACAATTTCCACCCTCCTGACCTTTTACCTGTGCACACAGGCATACTGCTAAGAATGCATATTGTAGAACAATGGATGTTACTAAGAAAAACAGAAATAGAAAAGAAAGCGGTGATACACTCAGGATTTCTCATGAAGGGGCAATGAGGGTCAACCCACTCTCATCAGAGGGATGAGGGTTCCTTCCAAGCAAATGATTCAGTGAACATGAGAAGGCTAATAGGTGGGGGAAGGGGGGTTGGCATCAGAGTTACTCTGACTACAAACACCATTAAAAAATAAAAAGAATACTGAGCATGCCTCCCTGAGTCAGTTTCTTATTAAAATCAAACCATCAAACCTCTCTCTCACTCTCTTTTTTTAAAGAGATGGGATCTTGCTCTGTCTCACAGGCTGGAGTGCTGTGGTGTGATCACACCTCAATGCAGCCTCAAACTACCAGGTTCAGATGATCCTCCTGCCTCAGCCTCCCAAGTAGCTGGGACTGCAGCTGTGCACACCATGCCTGGCTAATTTTTAAATGTTTGTAGAGATGAGGGTCTTGTCTTGTTTCCCGGGCTGGCCTTGAACTCCTGGTCTTAAGTGATCCACCCTCCTCAGCCTCCCAAAGCACTGGGATTACGGGCATAAGCCGCCATACCCAGCCAAGTTTTTCCTTATTTTCAAGTTCAAATTTCTAACTTGGGTCCCATCATTTGGATCACAAGAGCTCTCTCATGATCCTCCCTCCTGATAATACCCCACTTGTCACCAAGCTGATACAGTTCCTTGTTGCTTCAGCTCGGTCAATGGCTGCCTCCCAGTGCACCCTGAAAGTGTTCAGACCAGACCTTGAAATGTGTGTGCTTTTGGGGTTATGACCTGCTGGTCTGCTCAAGTCAAGCCAAGAGGTCACTTTCTGTATTACCATTTAGAACTAAATACAATTTTCCTTTCTCAGCACACAAGGAGCTGCATTTGGGTAAGAAATTAACAGCAAGTAACCAGGAAACCAGAGGAAGATTCCGAGTGTAGCTTTTGAGCTAGATAGGATGGAATGGAATTGCCAGGATGATTTGGGAAGGGAGGATCGAGGGACAGAATAGTTCCATTGAGAATTACTTAGGGCTCTTCATGGTAGAGAGAGAATCAGACCATCATCTCTTCTCTGGGAACTCTTCAAAATCAAAGTCCCTCAGCAATTCTTGGCAGTGGAGGTTCAATGTAGACCCCAAAGCTGCAAGACCAGAGCGTACTGCTGCTGTAGTTACTAAACACAGGGATCTGAATGCAGTAAACACGCAGAAAAAGGGGGAAACATTTGTCTGGGGCCATTTATTCTAGAAACTGGATGAAGTCCATGAAAATAGGGAAGGTTCAGAAACACAAAGAGAGGTGTATGGGCTGGGGGAAGGTCCTTTCAGACAATTAGAAGAGAACATTCTCAGGTAGTCCTCACCTGTTTTAGAGGTGATTTAGTCATTCTACTCTCAGAAAGCTGAGCAACACGAGTTGCTATGGATTTACTTCCAGCCACAGTGATAGCAATAATTTACGGAGCACCTGTTAAGTTCAAGGCCCTGCATTACATGTCTGGGCCTCTGCCACGGTTTGAGTGTTTATGTGCCCCCCAAATTCATATGATGAGATCCATCACTCATAAGGTGGTGGTATTAGGAGGTGGAGTCTTTGGGAGAGGTGAGTATGTGGTAAGTGTGGTGCTCTCATGAATGGGATTAGTGCTCTTATAAAGAGGTGATTCATTCATTCCTTCCTCCATGGGAGGACACAAGAAGGTGCTATGTATAAGGAAGCAGGGCTCTTGCAAGATACTCAACCTGCATATGCCTTGATCTTGGACTTCCCAGTCTCCAGAACCATGAAAAATAAACCTCTATTGTTGATAAACCTCCCATTCTTTGGTATTTTGTTACAGCAGCCCATGAGGACTAAGACAGCCAAAGAAGATGACACAGACAAAGTCCTTGACCCCAGCATCCAAGGCTGAGACAAACTAACTACAAAACAAGCCACAGTGGGCTGGGCGCGGTGGCTCATGCCTATAATCACAGCACTTTGGGAGGCCGAGGTGGGTGGATCATGAGGTCAGGAGATCGAGACCATCCCAGCCAACCTGGTGAAACCCCGTCTCTACTAAAAATACAAAAATTAGCTGGGCATGGTGGCGCGTGCCTGTAGTCCCAGCTACTCGGGAGGCTGTGGCAGGAGAATCGCTTGAACCTGGGAGGTGGAGGTTGCAGTGAGCTGAGATTGCGCCACTGCACTCCAGCCTGGTGACAGAGTGAGATCCTGTCTGAAAAAATTAAAAAAAAAAAAAAAAAATCAAGCTGCTCTGAGTCAAGGGCCAACACAGAAGCACCATGGAGTTATCTGGGCTTCAGGGTCCCAAATGCAGCCTCGCTTTGGGATGAGTGACATAGGTAGAGACAGTGAAGTGCCGATGCCAGCAGACACACTTGATGAGCTGATTTTTCCAGTCAATGAGGTTTCTAGTGACATGTTCCAGAGATTTAACATTTCTAGATTCTCTTATTTATTTGGTTTTAACATACTCAATTGTGTTAAAGGAGGGATAATCATGACTTTTGGTTATTTACTGTTTGATGGATGACTGCCATCTCTCCAATCAGCAAAAATAACAGAAAATGGTACAAATGGTGGTATTTATGGAAGCAAAGGGAGACAGCTTCCTCATGTCTGCAGTTGGAGATATGAGAAGTGGTTTTACTACTCTCAGCGCTAAAAAGTGTGGAATTAAGCTAATAACGTAGGCTTTTCCATAGAAAGCCTCCCCTTTTTTGAGCCCCATAATGCTGAGAGTTGAAGATGGCTCAGATGGTGAATAATAACCCTCAGGGTCCTTTTCTGGTAGAGGAAAAGGGCTCAGGGATTATTATCAAAGGCCTTTCCTCTGCCAGGCCGTGTGCTTGTCAGCAACTCCTCACACCCACACTGGGCATTATTAGTCTACTAGTTGCATTTGACAAATGAGAAAAAGACTACAGAAGCTGAGTGGTTTGCCTAAAGTCATAAAACCAGAATCAGAACCTAGATCGGCTTGTCTCCCAGGCCTGTGCTTTTCTCCACCTGACTAGGCTGAGTATAGCTCACTGTCATCACTGTCAAGGGTACAAGACACGAGCAGAATGGAGGGAAGGAAATTAGCCAAGTGTCCATAGTTCAATGCTTTATACAGACACCCAGACCACAGTGGCTGCCAAACCTGGTACCAAAATCAGGGGGGGTTTGGCTGGGATCAGAAGCTAAAACCTTAAAATTTTCATGTACTAAAACATATAAAATATATATTTCTGAATGTATATATGTCTCTTCCAACAAATGATATAATTACATCAGTTTAAAAACCTGTTATGCCCCATGCATTTCAGTCTCCCCATATTTTGTAGGCATACAAATGAAACTGACAGTCACAGGTGGTGCTTTTCAATACCTAATATATTCCCTGTGCTTCAAGCCTGAAGTCATCTGATTGGTGTTCAGCCCCTGAGTCTGGGCACAGATGAGTGGATCGAGAAACAACGGTTCATGAGGTTGGCTTGGAGGCCAATGAAACTCACAGCTGATTTGGTCTAGTTCCCTTACATCATTTCAGACCTCTGTTAATGTGCTTGTAAATTCTAGGGCAGATTCTGGGACCAATCCCAGGCTCTCTGCCGTCCTTGGGGCTAGGAATAAAGCTACCAGGACTGCCAAGGTCCCAGTCAACCCCCACAGAACACTTCACTGAGCCCATGAAGAGCAGGCCCATAGTCTCCCAGCCTTTTATGTATATGCTGTCAACTACATATTTTTTTTCCAAATTCAATTAAGGTTAAAAAAAAAAAAAGTAAAAGCTTTTTATTATGGTATTTTTCAAACAGGCACAAAGGTAGAGCAAAAAGTGTAATAAACTCCTATTTTCCAAATTATCAACATTCTGTCAAAACCATGCTTCTCCCATCCCACCCCACCCCATCCCCTTTATTTGCTGGTGTATTGTAAAGTTAATCCCAGATAACATACCATTTCTTTGATGAACAAAGACACATCTTTAACTGCCAAGGGCTTTATTTTTATT